AGGTTCATTTAACAAACAAACATGTTACGAATTTGACAATTGCAGTGGTTCGCTTCACAAGCTTGGCCATTTGAAAGGTTGTAAAATGGGGCAAAAGTCACACCACAATGGTCTTGGCTTAGCCACGGAAATTTGGGGCTTAATTGTGGTCATAAGTTGAAGATGACCTGTACAGGGAGCTTGCTCTCTTACCATCTGTTCTGTCCCAGCCCACGCCAGTCCTTGTTATGCTCACAAGGAGAAACCCCTCTTCCAATCAAGCAGGCTGGAACCGCAGGAAAAACCCAAACCCCTTTTATTATTCACAGACCTAAGTCAATGTCCAAGGCAAACAAACACAGTCCACAGAAACTCGATCCTCAAAACAAACAGCTCTCTTCGGCAACCAGCATCTCCCACACCTTTCCTTTTATTATGCAGCCAAGGCGTGGCTTCCTAATGCCTTCTCCTTTGCCTTTGGAGCCACCCCATTGCATTCCTCTGTCCTACTCGCTTCTCTTGCCTGCGCATTCGTGCATCTGGGATTTGTCCCAGCTGTTCTTCATCACTGTCCAACTCAGGCTCCCAGCACAGCTGTGTCTCAGCCTAAGCACGAGTAGAGGGGGCGGGCTCCTTGTCCGACTGTTAAGTCTTGGAGCTCCTCAGGGCCTTCCTCTGACTCCGATGTCACTCCAGGCCCCTCCTCATCTCCTCCTCTGATTCCCCAGACTCAGCTGCCGGGTCCATGGGCTGGCGAGGAATCAATACACCATCATCCCATTTGTTCTCAATTTTACGTGAGCCTCGCTGAATTTTTTGTTTTGTTTTCCTTTTGACAGCCCAAGCCACTGCAGCTTTCCAAGCTCGCTACTCTGACATATTCCCCACCAAGGTCTGCTTACAACTCAAAATCCGGGAAGTGAGGCAGAAGATTATGCAGGCAGCCACTCCGACAGAACAAGCCCCCAGCACGCCGGAGCCCGGAGGCACCCCGGGCAGCACCGCAGAGGGACAGCTGGTGGAACTGAGCCTCCCACAAGACTCGGCCCAAAGCACAGAGGCTGCCCCCCCAGCAGCCAGCCCTTCCACTACAGCAGCTGGCTGGGACTCTAACCAGCAGTCTTCTCCGGGGACGGCCGGGAGCAGCACCGCCACCACCAGCACCGCCACCACCAGCAGCAGATGAAGAGCAGCCAGCAGCGAGCGAGAAAAGCAGCCGCGTGGAGGGTGGGGGAGCCCCAGAGCTTTCCCCCCACCCTTGTCCTGCTCCTCACCGGTGTCCCTCCCTTTGCTAACCTCACCTGCTCTCTCCTGGGACTGTACAGGAGAAACTTCTGCCACCTGTAGACACTGCCTGGGCTCCTTGCAGGCCTCTTCCGCCCTTCTGATCCGCCGCGGAAGGGTTGTGGCACCGTCCTCCTCCCAAGAACTCCCAACGTGGTGGTGGTGGTGCTGCTGCTGACCTATCGACCATTCCAGGACGCAGGCCAGGAGACAGCTGGGGAGAGGGGGGGGCTGCCCGAGGGCCCTCCCCCCCAGGAGCACCAACCCACCCCTGTAAAATGACAGACCTCGTGTTGATTTCCCCACATCGAATAATGTTATACGTATTTGGAGATCCCACCTACCTGTTGCTTCTGTGTCCAGTCATCGGGGCAGTGGGGGGGCGGGGGCGGGGGAGGGGTGGGGAGCCTTGTCCATCCATCCTTGCAGCGGGAAGGGAGAAGGGAGGCCTGGCCTTCCCGGACCGGGGAATCGCTTTTGGTCATTGGGCAAACCGGGTCACTGGAGGAGCCAGAAGGAAGAAGAAGAAGAGGAAAGTCCATCCGGGCCAAGGCCGGGGCTCCGTGGAGTTTGGCCAAGAGGGCTTCTCCCTCGGCCTTGCCAAGAGAGGAACAAGGAAAGCCGTTTGCGTGCGGCACAGCCTAAATCTGGACGGGAGTTAAGAGGGGTCTTGGAGAGAGGGGGCTGGCCTGGCAAGCTCCCCTCCCAAGTGTGAGCGCCCTGGTGGCCACAGCCACATGTTGACCATGTGTAACCCCTTCTGTATTGGGGTGGCCCCACCTCACATACTATTAAAGCTCTTTAACAATCCGGCCCGGTTGTAGAATTTCGGCGCGTGCGGAGCATCCACCCCTTCGGCGTCCCGTACGGGTTTTCTTCGCCGTGACCCTTTTGGGGGCGTTGGGCCATCTCGTTCCTTCCGCCCTTTGGGCTGCTGACTTGGCTTTTCTCATCCTTGCAGGTGCCAAGGTACGCTTGACATGTTTTGGGTGAGGTCTGTTGGAACAGGACTTTTCAACCTTTTCACCCATTGTACCACTTTTAGGATATGGCAACATCCGAGTACCACCAGTCGCCTAGCAAGGTGTCAAAAACTTGACCCAAAAAAAAAAAAAGGAAAAAAGTGATAAAAGTACAGGTAGTCCTCGACTTACAACAGTTCACTTAGTGACTCTTAGAAGTTACAATGGCACTGAAAAAGTGCCCCCCAAGGCACAGTTGAGCAAGACACCTGCCTGCCCACCCGGCGGCGCTCTTCCTCCTGTCCGAGGTTTTCATTGTTGTGAACATTTCTGTTGGGGATTGGCAGCGGGGGTGGGGTGGGGGGTGTTTGGTTTTTATTCCCCCCGTCTGCTGGGTGGTTGCAGCAGGTTTTGGTCACTTCACATGACCCTGGGACACTGTGACCGTCATAAATATGAATCAGTTGCCAAGCATCTGAATGTAAATCACAAGACTCTGGAGATGCTGCAACAATCCAGCTGATCGGCGCTTCTTCTGGGCTCAGCGGAAGCGCCAGGATCAGTGCTGAGCTCCAGCTGGAGCCTGGCGCTGATCCTGGCGCTTCCGCTGAGCCCTGCAGCTCCAGCCGTCTCTCGCTCAGGCTTGTGTGGTGCTGCCACCGGTTCAGCTCATTCCCCCCCCGCTACCACTTTTCTAGGATGGTCGCGTACCACCTGCCAGGTGCCAATGTACCACAGGTGGTATATGTACCACTGGTTGAAAAGCCCTGTGTTGGAAGGTCGGGAGCTGGAGAAGTTCCTTCGGCCAGGTTTTAAGCTTGGGGCAGCGTCTCGGCTCCCCCTTGCGTTATTTGCCACAGCAGTGAGAACACAATCTGGTCTTCGGGTCTTTGAAACAAAAAACGTTCCTGCAGCACCACGATGCAGATCTCTGGAATTGTGCCTGTAGGTAATCCTCAACTTACAAACCATTCGTTTAGTGACCATTTAAAGCAGGGCTTTTCAACCAGTGGTAGGGGTACCACCTGTGGTACATTGGCAGCTGGCAGGTGGTACGTGACCATCCTAGAAAAGTGGTAGCGGGGGAGGGGAATGAGCTGAACCGGTGGCAGCACCGCACAAGCCTGAGCGAGAGATGGCTGGAGCTGCAGGGCTGTCAGGGCTCAGCGGAAGCGCCAGGATCAGTGCCAGGATCCAGCTGGAGCTCGGTGCTGATCCTGGTGCTTCTGCTGAGCCCAGAAGAAGCGCCGATCAGCTGGAATGTTGCAGCCTCTCCAGGGTCTTGTGATTTACATTCAGATGCTTGGCAACCGATTCATATTTATGACGGCCACAGTGTCCCAGGGTCATGTGAAGTAACCAAAACCTGCTGCAACCACCCAGCAGACGGGGGGAATAAAAACCAAACACCCCCCCACCCCCACCCCCGCTGCCAATCCTCAACAGAAATGCTCACAACAATGAACTGTTGTAAGTCGAGGACTACCTGTACTTTCATCACTTTTTTCCTTTTTTGGGGGGGGGTCATGTTTTTGACACCTTGCTAGGCGACTGGTGGTACTCGGATGTTGCCATATCCTAAAAGTGAAAAGTTCTGATTTAAAGTTACGAGGGAACTGAAGAGTGACTTAATGACCATTTTTCACACTTTTCGACCGTTGCAGCATCCCCTTGGCCACCTGATCAGAAGTCAGACGCTTGGCAAGTGGCAACGTATTTATGACAGTTGCAATGTGAAACTTTTGCGACTTTCACATGAGAAAAGTCGATGGGGAAAGCAGAGTCCCTTAACAGCCCTGTTACTTAGCTGCAGTAATTAATTTAATGACCGTGGCAAGAAAGGTCGTAAAGTGGGGCAAAACTCAGCAACTATTTTGCTGAGCGACAGAATTGTTGAGCTCAATTGTGGTTGTTGAGGACTGCCTATATTTTGAAATCAAGCCCTTCAGTGCATCAATTCAGTGGGGCCTTGAGGTTGGAATTGCTTTGCAACTGATCCCTCATTGCATTTTTCAAGCAGTGAGGAAGGAAAAATTCTTCCTCAATCATGAAATCAAACTACACTGGCAGCTTTTTAGTTACCGCCCCAATGTAGCCCACCACGTAGGAGTTCAGGGGGTCTGCAGATCCAGCCAACTAGGCTAATTAAACTCAAGTTGATATTGTGTCTTCAGCCACAAGGCACCTAATTTTAGCATTTTTCCCCAGAGAAATGGGATGGGAAATAAATATGTTGCTCGCAAAATTCAATTGAGAAAGAGGAGAGACAAGTGTTAACAAGGTTAGCTGTGTACGCTATGTATGGTTGTCCCTATAAAGCAGATGTGGGGACCAATGGCCCCCTTCACGGTGTGTGGACTTGACTGACTGGCTCAGGAATTCTGGGAGTTGAAGTCCACCAGTCATAAAAGGGCCATCATTCCCCATACCTGCTATATAGGCTGGCTTTAATAAAAAAAAAGCATAAACAGCTTCTTTTCAACTTCATGAAGATAAAGCTAAAGAATTCAAAAAGGCAGCAACCAGGAAGAGGTTTGCAGACAGCAGGAACAAATTCTCCAAAATGTAAAAGACCTGGTATGCAAATTGTTGCTAATTGCTTCCAAGGAAAACCTATTTTTAGTGTAAGCCAGACGACTAATGACTCGCCCCATTAGCACAGCACTTGTCTGAAACTCAAGTTAATAGGTAAAGAAAGACAAAACTTCTGCCCAGAAATTTCAGGTTATTTTTATTACGTAAAAACAGACAAATTCCCATTGTCTTCTGCCAAACTTTTTTTTTTTTTGGCAGCTGCAGGTCATTCCCATCCCTTGCCAGAAAACCCACACTTGAGGCTTACGGAGTTAGTAAAGAAGTGCCCAATTCCATATACCAGGTAGAAGATGGGTGGGAAACTGTTTTGGCACTCTGGAGCGGCTTTCTTCAACGTTGGCAACTTTTAAGACGGGTGGACTTTTAACCCCCAGAATTCTGGGAGTTGAAGTCCACTTATCTTAAAAGTTGGCACGGTTGAGAACAGCTGATCTGGAGCAAACAGCAATCTAGCTTCTAAAGCCTCCTGCCGTCATTCAAGCCAATGACGAGCATCTTGAGGTGTGATTGACGGCACCCATCAAGGGGTCTGAGCGTGGCATTCTCCCAGCATGCAGAGCAGCAGGCGATGGAGCCCAGGGCACAGTCTGGCATATCCGTTGCGGGTCAGGTGGAGGTAGTCGTACATGTCGTGGTGACTTATAGTCCCGTCTGAATGCACAAAGCCCGGGTCAACATTGAGGAAAGAGGCATTGGGGAGCAGCGGCACCTTAACCTCAAGCAATTCGTTCACCCTTCTGTTCTTCTCTCGTAACGGGTTGGGGGTTTTGCCCCGTGGCAGCAAGCCCTGTGCAGGATACAGAAAAGACCCCAGTCTGCTTATTGCAAGATTCTAAGTCACAAAGTGGTTGCTTGCTAAGCCGATGCAACGTGTGAATGTTCCATCAGCTGGGCTCAATGAAAGTAGTCTTTGTTAAGTGCTAGTAGTTCTCGCTGAGTGACTGTTCGAAGTTCTGATACACCAGGCACGTCAAACTCGCGACGTCACATCGCGTGACGTATTGTGACTTTCCCCATTGCTGGGCGCGGTTTCGGCATGACGCATCCCACCCGTAGGCCGGCAGTTTGACATGCCTTTGATACACCTCCCCAGGATTACTTAAAACAGTGATGGCAAACCTTTTAGAGACCGAGTGCCCAAACTGCAACCCAAAACCCACTTATGTATCGTCGGGTGCCGGGTGGGCATGGCCCATTGGGTGGGTGTGGCCCATTGGGTGAGCATGGCTGCGGTGGTAACGGCAGGCTGGGTGGGACTAAAAAGTTTAATCAATCAATTACAACTTTGCGAGATCTTGAAATTGATTGAACCTTTTTTTTTTTTTTGCACATGGCGGCAGAGGCCTAAAGCGAAAAGGTTTTATACAACCCAGCTGAAGGCCTAGGACTTGGGTGACGGCGCGCGTGCCCAGAGAGGGCTCTGAGTGCCGCCTCTGGCACCTGTGCCATAGGTTCGCCACCACAGACTTAAAAGCTGGTTCTGGAGTTCCGATGGACACGCACATAGCCATGTGATCACAATTAGGGTGCTTTGGCAATTGGGTTCCATTTATGGACATTTGCAACACCTGTGGTCACGTGACCATGATTTTTGGCATCATTTTTTTTGCCAGTTTCTAACATTTAATTCCGGTTTCCAGCAAGAAACAGCCATTGAAGAAAATGGCTTAATTTAATAACTGGTGGTGGTGTAGGGTTTTCTGCCTGAGCAGGGGGTTGGACTCAATGACCTCCAAGGTCCCTTCCAACTTTATTATTATTATTATAACCACTGCAAAAGTCATAAACCTGGGCATGGTGACCCGCTTAATGACGGCCATGGCTTAGAGCCATAATACCAGGCTCAATTACAGCCATAAATTGAGGACCACATCTATAAGCTTCATAAATATGAAGATAGCCCTATATTGCAAGCCACATCATTCTAGTTTCTTTGGCCAATATGATTCTGGCTTAATGTTAACAGGGCAGCAGGGGATCCAGCCCAGTCGAAAGGATGGCATTTTTTAAAGGCATTCTTATCAGATTGAGCCGGGCTTGGAACTCACCAATACAACCACGCGGGCCTGGGGTTGTTGCTGATTGATGACACGCACAATGGCTTCTATGCCAGCAGCCACCTGTTCTGCAGTGTGTCCATGGTTATTGGTGCCCACCCAGAGTACCACAATCTGGAACCAATGAGAGGGGAAAAAAGAATTGTTTCCAAGTTCTGGGACCCAAGATGCTTGGGTGAAAAGAAGTCATTAACGACGTTATTGCTTTTATGCACAGCTACCTATCTAGGACCACAACAGGAAATCTGGCTCTTGAAACACCACACCCTCTTGTGTTTCAACAACACAAGGCCTGCTGCTATAAAAGTGGTCGTTCTGGATCTTTATGTGGACAAGGCTACAGAGTCTGAAAAGTTGACAAACATTTATTGCAGCCTCATTAAGTTGAATGCTATCCTGGGTTTGTATAATTTTGGGGAGTCTTCACACAACCCATAGAGCAGAGTTTCCCAACCTTGGCAACTTTAAGGTGTATGGACTTCAACTCCCAGAATTCCGCAGCCAGCCATAGAGAAACACTGCCCTAGAGGTACTGTATAGCATTTTATAATTAAATGTTTTTAAGAAAAAGTTTCAGGCAGGTCCTTAAATGTGCAATGAATCCCAGATAATCTCAGGCTGTTTTGTTCTCCCTAATTATTACGCAGAAGAATTAAAGGAGGGGTGGGAGGTGGGAGAAACTAAATGGGTATATCTTTACAGGCTGCATACATACTCAGAGGTTATTTAGCTTATTTGATTCCCATTTGATGCTTCCGTTAAGAAAGTATATATGAGAGCCAGTTTGGTCTAGTGCAGGGGTAAGCAACCTTGGCTCTCGTGGACTTCAACTCCCAGAATTCCTGAGCCAGCATGGCTCAGTATGGAAACCTCTCCCTTTTCCCTCAGCGTGGCTGGCTCAGGAATTCTGGGAATTGAAGTCCACGAGTCATAAAAGAGGCAAGGTTGCCTACCCCTGGTCTAGTGTTTAAGGCACCAGGCTAGAAAATGGGAGACGGTGAGTTCTAGTCCTGCCTTAGACATGAAAGCCTACTGGAGGACTTTGGGCCAGTCACTCCTAGCCCAACCCACCTCGCAGGATTGTTGTGAGGAAAACAGGAGGAGGAAGGTGTGTTGGATATGTTCACGGCCTTGAGTCAGTTGTAAGAATAATAAAGACAGGATAAAAAATAAATATATAGGGAGCAGGGCTGAGTAACATTTTTAAGAACTGTAGATAGGATTCTAGGCTTGAGGCCTACTTCATCAGCCGCCATGTACTTACCTTTGGACGGATGTGCTGCAGTTCTCCATTCTGCAGGCGCCAGAGCACATGCTGAGTGGCATCGCCCCCAATGCCAAAGTTGAGGGCATGCAGCGGGGAGAAAAGCTCCCTCCAAATCTGGTGGAGGAAAAAAAAAAGGTGAATGAGCAGACGATAAGACTGATGGATCCACTTGATTTTTTCCAGAGACTCTTTCCAAGACACTTTACCTCATACTGGTGCAGCAGTTGTACCAGGGAGTCCCCAATAAAGACCACTTCAGGTTCCTTGTCTTTGCTATCGGCAATGAAACGGTGGTGCTGCAGAAAATGGAGAAAATTGGAGCATTTTCAGAGGGGGAAACTGATGAAGAGACTAAATTTCTGGAAGGGGGGAGAACAGCAGAAGCAGCAGCCCAGGAATTGGGATCCAAAGCAAAGTTCAGTGGATTGAGACAGGAGATCTCTGATTGCTAACCCCAAGACTTTTTGACATATATGTTGATATGTTCCCATTTTGCTGCTCATAGAAGAATTAGTGACTCCAAGGGGAGATTTCTTTCTCTCACTTAAAACATGGCTGGCTAAGGAATTCTGGGAATTGAAGTCCAAAAGTCTTAAAGTTGCCAAGTTTGGAGACCCGTGACTTCAAGGAAAGATCCCTAAAGAATTATGGTGGCAATTTTGAGCTGACTCAGCTATAGCGAGCCAAATTAGGCCAGCCACAGACACTCCTAGTGAATGTCTACAGCAACAGCAAACATCGTGCAGATAGTCCTCAATGTATGGGGATAATTAACCCCAGAATTAACAGTCATTAAGCGAGTCACCGCCCTGACTGCCTGATTTTATAACCTTTTATGCAGTGGCTGTTAACGCAACGCTGTGATCATTAAACGAATGCTGAGTTTGTTAAACGAATGCATTGTACACAATGGGCACTTTTGCTGGAAACTGGAAGTAAACCAGCAAAAAGAAAATGCCAAAATATCACAGTTCACAATGAACATAAAATGAAAGTTAGCCATCCCTTCACCAGCATCTTCCAGATGTTTTGTTAACTGCAGTCCCCAGAATTCCTTGGGGTGTACCAGTTGGGAAGGCTGGAAGCTGCCTTCTTCCAACATCTGGAAGGTGTAGGTGTGTGGAGGAGTCAACCCGAATTAAAGAAAAGAATTGGTGGAATGACTTGCCTCCAGACATTGTGCCCCCTCCATCAGTGGAGGTTTTTAATGACGAAATTAGATGGCATTTGTCTGAAATGGTCTAGGGCAGGGGGTAGGCAACCTTGGCTCTTTTATGACTCGTGGACTTCAACTCCCAGAATTCCTGAGCCAGCCATGCTGAGGGGAAAGGGAGAGGTTTCCAAGCTCTGGACCATGCTGGCTCAGGAATTCTGGGAGTTGAAGTCCACGAGTCATGAAGGGGCCATAATTCCCTCATGCTGGCTCAGGAATTCTGGGAGTTGAAGTCCACGAGTCATAAAAGAGCCAAGGTTGCCTACCCCTGGTATAGGGTTTCCTGCCAGAGCAGGGGGTTGGACTAGAAGACCTCCAAGGTCCCCCTTCCAACTCTGTTATTCTTGAACAGAATCAATGGCCGTACAGCTCCAGAGAGGGGCCTCCCCTCCACCCCAAGACCCTCTTTTCGGCCGGATCCCTGCAGCTCAAGCAGGCAGCTCACCAACGACATCCATCGTCCATCCCCTTGCACGTCGATGACCGGGGTTGGGGTGCTGGCGGGGTTCTTGTCGCCATCGCTCATGCTTGCAGATCCTAAAGGAGACAAAGCAGAGAATAGGGACTTAATTCCTGGCTCAATGGCCTGCCCGCCCCGCACCTCCACAGCGCATCCCACCAGTGAACCCCCTTGCTCCGCATCCCCAGAGGGCAAAGCAAAGGAACAGCTGGACCTGCGCCCAGGAGCTCCGTCCAGGAACAATACGGTCCTGTGCCAGTCACCGCTCCCCCCTCGCCCGCCGAGCGCCAATGGTTTCGTCCATTCATTTCCCCTCCACCGTACAAAGCTTCGGCGGTACCATTCCTTAAAAAGGGGGGGGGGATTTGAACCTATACTGTGCAACGCCTGTAGGGCTGTCTTTTTTTTTTCTTTTTTGCGGCTAGAGAAGTAATGGCGAAGCTGTCAGCAATTTGGATGTCCACAACAGCAAAAGACGAATTTATCTGCAGAGGTTTGATATTGCAAACCTTTGCACCTCTCGCTCCCCCAGGGCACCGTTTGCACCAATTCCATCCACCCGTACCGTAGTGGATCAATGCATCGATGCGTGAACGGAGGGGGGGGAGGGGCGGGAGACGCGAAGGGGGATTACACCCCCCCTCCCCATCCCACATAGTTCTAGATATTTGTGCGGTGTTCCTTCTCTCTTCTTTTCAAGCCTTCGAACTGACTCGTCCTTCTTCCGTTTTCGGGGAGGAAAGAAAAGTGGGCTTAATCCATTGCCTCCCCCCCGTGCACAATGGTTCGTTCTCCCTGCGAGCTGTCTGCCTGCTTGCAAATAGCCGGTACCATTCGGAAAAAAGGGGGGGAAACTACTCACGGTATTGATCGGGGGGGGAAAAGAACAATAATCAACCACTTCCCCGACTTTTAAGCCGCCGGAGAAATTGCTCCGCCTGCCCGCTTTCAGCTCCGCGTTGGAAGCGGTTTCCTGCCGCCACCTGGACGGAACCACCTGACCAGGCAAACGGGGGGGGGAGGAGGAGGAGGCGGCGACTCGTTTTTCTCTCCCGCACCCTCCCGGTGAAGCCAATGGTATCGGCCACTCTAGCCAGGCCGAGGCGCCCCATTCATCTTTCCGCAGCGTTTCGCTTCTTGCCTCCGTCGACGTGGCGGCTCCAGAGCATCCCCTGTGGAACTGCGGCCTGGGAATCAGCTCCGTGCGCTCCGCGGCCCTAGCCGTTTCTAGCCATCTGTGCATTTAACACGTCGTTAGATTCAGTCCGAGTTACAGGCGTACATCGACTTGCTTTCCCCAATCTGGTGGCTTCCTGTTATTAAACTACATGTCCCAGCATCCTCGTTTCCGGGGTCAAAGGTGAGTTTCTATGTGCATAATAAAGTAGACAAGAGCGGATAGCTGGATAGTTTTGTTTTCCTGCTTGATAACTTTTTTTTCATTATGTCTTCAGAATACACACACTGATTAATGTGTGTATGTGTGTATAAGAGGAAGTAGATTAGGTGGGTAGGTAGACATAGACGGATAGAAGGTGAAATAGACAGACACAAATAGAAAATAGAGGGTAGATAAGTGAGATACACAGACAGACATAGAAGGTAATAGATAGATAGATAGATAGATAGATAGATAGATAGATAGATAGATAGATAGATTAGATAGATAGATAGATAGATAGATAGATAGATAGATAGATAGATAGATAGATAGATAGATAGATAGATAGATGGCAGATGGATGATAAGATGGGTTGGATGGATAGTAAGAGAGGATGGATAGAGAAGATAGGTAGATAGAGAGATGGACAGACGGATGGATTGGATGGATAGTAAGAAAGGATAGAGAAGATAGATATAGGCAGATAGATAGATAGATAGATAGATAGATAGATAGATAGATAGATAGATAGATAGATAGGAAGGCCTGGAGGAACCTTGTCCATGGAATCGTGATGGGTCAGACACGACTTCGCAACTAACAACAGAGAGAGAGAGAATGGATAGATAATAAATGGATGGATAGATAGATGGATGGATAATAGATACTGGGATGGATGGGTGGATGGATGGATGGATGGATAGATAGATAGATAGATTATATGTGTGTGCATGTCTGTGTATGGATACATGTGAGTAGTCCTCAGCTTACAACCACAATTGAGCTCAAAATTTATGTTGCTAAGTGAGACATTTGTTAAGTGAATTTTGCCCATTTTCCCACGTTCCTTGCCAGTTAAGTGAACCATTGCAGTTAAGTGATACTAGTTTACCCATTGACTTTGCTTATTGAAAGTTCACAATGTCTGATCACATGGCCCCAGGACACTGCAAATGTTATCAATGTGAGTTGGTTGCCAACTGTCTTGAATTTTGATCACGTGATCGTGGGGATGCTCCAACAGTCAAGTGTGAAAAACGGTCATAACTCACTTTGAACAGTCAATACATGGACTGTTTTAAGTCGAGGGCTACCTGTATTTTCTTTTGAGAGTGGGTGTCAGAATTGCATTTTTAATGTGCGTCAATGTGAATACAGAAAAAAGTGACAATAAAGGCTACCTTCTCCTATAACATCCATTTGAGGCTTTAGAGCTCTGCATTTCTTTCAAATCATTTAATGAAGCCTGTTTTGTCTTGTTTCATGGATAGATGTGCTCTCTATTGTACTTAAATAGAAGCTGACTAATATCTACGGAGATTCTCAGTCCTCCAGGTTACGGTTGTCCCAACGGTGCTTTTGCACGAGGCAACTGGACTTTTTTTTCTCTTTGAAGACATTTCACTTCTCTTGAGAGCTGAAGAATCTTCTTGGATGAGAAACGAAACGTCTTCAAAGAGAGAAAAAAAGAAAGTCCAGGTGCCTCATGAAAAGCACGTTTGGGATGAGCTAATAGTAATTGTTGTAGTCCCGCCATCAGCCACATGAGTGTCCCAGTTTTCTACAAATCTTCAAGCAAAGGGGATGGTGCACTAAAGGCAATTTTGGGGGAATAACAGCTCACTTAAATTGGGATCACACAGCACCATGAGCTGACATTTGTTAGCTGTGGGGGGGAGAATCTATCACTGGAGAGCTGCATAGTATTTTGTAGAAACAGACGTGGTAAGACAAATCTGATTATGGAACTAATTCCAGAAATTCACAGAAAGGTGAAATAAATTAGTGCACAGAAGAGGGGTTACACATGGTGGAATGTCAAATGGTTTTGTCAGAGTGCCATGTGTTATTTAAATAATACATTTATAGTTATCGTTCATATTCTCAAAAGATATTCGAAGGCATCTATCAAAGAAATATGCTTAATTTCTCAGTCCCCAGAATTTTGCTACCTTCAACAGGGAGCTAAAAGTTTACACATAAACATAACAAAATACTTGGAGTGCACAATGTAAGGATATCGGGTTTAAAGTCTAAATAGCCCCGATTAAAGAATTCTTTGTAAAACATGACATAATTCTAAAAGTCTTTGAAAACTGCAACCTTTTGATAAAAGACAGTAGAAACCAGCAGGATTTCTCAACCTTTTATTGGCAGCAAACTTTTGGATCATGAATTCAACGCATGTCTCTTCTCCTGAATCAATAATATGCAAGATCCCGTAAGCGGGTCAAATTCTCAGGAAGCGCTGAGCCTGTTTTTGCTTGTAAATCATATCTCTATGATTTGAGAAAAACGATGGAAAACACCCTTTCCAAAAAAAGGAATACGCACAAACTTTGTTACTAAAAGTAAACTTGGCTGTTGTCTAAAATATAACAGTTGTTCAAGTCAAACAAACTCTTGCCTTCCACCAGGCACAGAACGAGTCAAAAATGAATGGACCGCGTTAAATGATCTGGACTTAAGTGCGTTACACCAAGAAATGTACCAGCAATTGCAATAACTGCCAATTGCAGGTAGAATGAAAAACATGCCAAGGTTGCACCCTTGAGAAGCCCCCTCTCCTTTTCAAAGACTCCTGGCCTGGAATGGGACCTTAATCAGCGGAAACCTCCCCCTTAGAATTCTGCAGATGCGGTTGGAAGTCTGGCCAGCCCTGACCTTTCCCTCCCAATCGGAAGACTAACTGGGAAGGGAGATGGAGCCCATCTGGCCGATGCTCAAAGACACCGAAGGGGAGCTGTCGGCTCCGGGAAGCTGGCTTGGTTGCTGGGTGTTTTCTGAGACTTGCTGAGCAGACTGGCTGGGCGCTTGTTTGGGTGTCAAGCAGTTGGGCCCTGCTTCAGTGGAATCTAAACACAACAGAGGAAGGAAGCCTGTTAGATCATTGATGCTACACCTCCCTGACTCTTAGCCTCCTATATCACCATTACCCTGAACCTATGACAGCCATTCAGCCATGACTTTGGCAAAACATAGTAGCCTGCTATTTGGGAAGACCATGTCGCTAGCTGGGGTTTGCCAGGTCAACCAGAGGTGAAGTAACTGAGACTTCATCGCCTTCTGCCTGATCCAGAGTGAACCCTGGTGGCTGTAGCGTTATAACCATTGGCATCCTGTTGTTGTTGTTAATTGCAAAGTCGTGTCCGACCCATCGCGACCCCATGGACAACGTTCCTCCAGGCCTTCCTGTCCTCTACCATCTTCTGGAGTCCATTTAAGCTCAGGCCTGCTGCTTCAGTGACTCCATCCAGCCACCTCCTTCTCTGTCGTCCCCTTCTTCTATTGCCCTCCATCTTTCCCAGCATTAGGCCCTTCTCCAGTGAGTCCTTCCTTCTCATTAGGTGGCCAAAGGACTTGAGTTTCAACTTCAGGATCTGGTCTTCTAAAGAGCAGTCGGGGTTGATCTCCTCTAGGACTGACCGGTTTGATCGCCTTGCAGTCCAGGGGACTCGCAGGAGTCTTCTCCAGCACCATAGTTCAAAGTTCTCAATTCTTTGGCGCTCAGCCTTTCTTATGGTCCAACTTTCACAGCTGTAACATACTAGCCTGCTATTTGGGAAGACCATGTCGCTAGCCGGGGTTTGCCAGGTCAACCAGAGGTGAAATAACGGAGACTTCATTGCTTTCTGCCTGATCCAGAGTGAACCCTGGTGGCTGTAGCATTATAACCATTGGCATCCTGTAGGGTCCTGTATATATAACCCACGTAGAGTTTCACCAGATATTTCAGTTTCTCTTTCTTGCACACTGCTGTGACTAAAAAATTTTAATCCAAAGAAGATCCTCAAATCAGCTTTAATGGGACTACACTGGGATAAAGAGGCAGCTTTGTAAGGCCTTCCAGAAGGCCAGGAGAATGGGGGGGGGGGCGGCCTGCTGTATCTCAGGAGCAAAAGGGTTCTCCGGGGCAAGGGCTACACCTGAGAAGGTGTGTTTCCCAGGTCCTGCTAGAGAATGCCTCTCTGTAGCTTTTATTTTTTCCCCCCTCAATGTAAATGTAAGACAAGGAAAGTCAATCTAATTATAGGTATAATTGCGTTAGCATCTCCAGAAGACTTTATGCTTGGTGGCCATTCCTGCAAACTGTGCCTTATCCAGGGATGCTCAAAACTACTAGGGGTAGGCAACCTTGGCTCTTGCATGACTCGTGGACTTCAACTCCCAAAATTCCTGAGCCAGTATGGGAGTTGAAGTCCACGAGTCATACAAGAGCCAAGGTTGCCTACCCCTGCTAAGTAATGCTTTCTGCTAAGCCTACCTTTTCCATTCTCGCTGCCAGGCGCCTTCAGGCTCTCACCCCGCTCTTCTTCTTTGGGCCTTCTGCTGGAACACCTTCCTTCTCGGAACGGCTGGGGTTGGCACTGCGCAGACATCTGCCCTGGGAAAAGCATTGGGTCTGGGAAAGAGGGCTGAGCCAGAAGGCAGGGGCCGGGGTTCAGCAGAGACAAACTGGGAGGGAGCATGTGCAGATCCATCCCAACGGGGGACCCTGCTTGGAAGGGCATGGCGACCGAGACATCCAAGGGTGAGACGCAGAAAGGCAGCAGGGGCGGATTGCCAGGGGCGGAGCCAGCTGGGGCGAGGACTTCCACGCTGGTCTCGGAAAT